TTCATAATGGAAAGAGTTACATGTACTTGAAGTGCACCTTCCTGGCACCAAGATGCAACTAAGGCAGAAATAAACAGACTGAAATGAATTAACTAAATAAACTGATAGCTTGCCTCTGGATGCTTACGGTGTTTTAATTTTCACTTAAACGAGCACTTATCCAAGCAGGTTTCGACGCCATTTTGCACTCATTTTGTGTTGGTTAGTACTTGCGTTGTCAGAATCCCTAGTTCAGACATATTACCCAAATAGGTTGAATAAACTCTTTCCCTAATAATCACCGTCATATTTGTTCTATTTTAATATATTGCTCTCTCGAATATATTCCTGAATAACAATCTTTTTGATCTGCGTTTCGTTATCGGTATTTACACGTTAGATAAGGTACTGAGTAAGCAGGTACCAGAGCACATAGGGCTATTTAGGGTTGGTCAAGAGTTACGTAACAGAAACATAACCATTCCCCTACATACTCCTCAGTTTATGTAGGTAAGCAAATGTATTGACACGTTATGATTTCAACAGTCTAGATATGTCAATCACATTTCTTCATCATACTACTGGAGCATGATTAAATTTCTCCAAGGTAATGCCTTCCATATTATCCATGAATATCTGTTACGATTAAGGAACTTAATGATGTGATGACTACCTCTATGTGTTTGTATATTTCATCTTGAATAGAAACGACTGTAAAATCAGACATTAGTGTACATCTAGCATAAGTTTCTATAGACTGATTCTTAATGTATGAGCAATCGATTGATGATTAGATTGTTTTCGACTGTGACTAACTTCAACCATTTCATTCAAGTTGTCCATTCATTGATTTCTAGTTCCGTCCAATTTGTAAATAGCTCTGAACATAAGTCACAGCGTTGTTGTCATAAAAGAATTCTTGTCTTTGTTAACGAATAAAGTATCACCTGGATTGCCATCTGTCACTATATTTGTGTGTATAATTAGTTGTGACATAGCTTCTACGAAGCATTAATTTTATCAGGCACGGAAATTTATTTGATTAATGAGTATTAAAAGCAGTGGAATACAAATTTCGGGTGTATTATGTACTCTGAGCTGGGTTGTTCTCCATCAGTGCAAATTTTGTAACATCTTACAGATTTCTATTTCAAAATTTATCTCACAACATTTTAAACTCAAAATTTAATGGTAATTTTAAGTCTTTCCCTTTTCCTAGGTAGTAAAATCGAAAGAAACACCAGTGAATAAGTCTTCAAATTCGTATCTACATCTAACTGTGGTGAAAAGCAAAAAGTGTGCAAAGCTTCAATCAACTACTCCCTAGCCAAACTTTCTCACCTAAAGACTAAGCTCACTTTCTAGTACTATATAAAAAGTATTTTGCCTTAACGAAAAAGAGATAGCACTAACTATAGTAGATATTTTAATAAAATTAGTTGTAATTTGGTTCGTTGTGGCTAGCAGAGGAACCCAAGTAGCACGTTTCATCCTATTTGGGACCCGTCAGGTGGATGTACCTGCAACGCAGTGCAGCGAGATGGTGCCCCCACTGATACTCAAACCTCGTACCCATCATTTCAAACGCTAAGTGTGGCTCACTATCTACTACATGGATATCCACGTAACTGCTTATTACATCTCGATTCTTCTCTTTTTAAAATTATGACTCACTTTTAATGGAGATGTGATAGTGGTGCAATGTCTCAACGCTAAGATCTATGACAAAATGGCACTCATGCTTCGTTACCTCTACTAACCTGACTGGCTCAAGCATAAATTAACCCGTACAACCAATAGTGAATGACATTTTTAATTGTATAATATGTGTCTATTTTATCGATATAGTTTTTATACAAGCTTGTAATTTAGTACATGATTCTTTCTTCATTTTATATCAGTTGGAGACTTCTCATTATATTATTAAGTTATTCTTTTCAAGGTGTCCAATGCGTTACAAGCTATACTTACGAAATTTTATTTTTCAAGCATTTGTTACAAGTAGTTCATTCTTTGTGCTACTTATCGATATTATTGTCATCATTTTGTAACATGTTTGATAGTTTCTACTGTTCGTGTTTTTGGAAAAGATGGAGATTTAATTTCACTTCACAAGCCTACCAACTTCTGCACTGTTGGTTGCTGTCAGCACCCGAAATTGTAGTATGTGTGCATCTGCACGCATGTCATCCATATCACCCTTCATTTCAAAAGCTATGGGCTTACTGATAAAAAGTTACCTCATTATATATCATTTTGGTGCTCTTTCTGATCTATGTAATTTAATTTCACGTTACTCTACTCCATTTACAGATGGGCTAAAAACTGTCAGTTACAAATGAATTAAAAATGGAATATCTTTTACCTGGATAACGTTTCGGACACAATTTGTTGTCCATATTCATATCAGGTAACTCCACAAGTGAGAGACAGACTTTATATAGTCCTAATTTTCTCTCCTTCTCTGTGATGACAAGGGTAGTAGAATCTTCCATATATCTGGGACAGGTGAAGAATCATTTCGATTGCAAGCATTTGGTGTTGATTCGATAAACAGAGACTCGGTTATCAATCTCTCTCTCCACCCAAATAAGTTAGTTTTCAACACTGTCGCTCTGTTCCACCCTACTAAGTGATTGTGTGTCAACTCATGCAGAGCTATAGCCGAGCTTTCTTCTACATTTCTTATCTTATTAGGATCTACTAATCTTGATTTAGCTAAGTCTTTGTGCTCTGTTATTCTAATGAACCCTGGTCGACTGCATTGACCTATGTACTTGACCTCGCAATCATTGCAAGGGATCTGATCTCTAATAAACAGACAAAAATGGAATTACAATAGACCACAGTCCTCAAGTTTTACTCTTATATTAGTAGGATATCTTTTATCTCAAAAAATCATAAAATAAACTGATTTCTGTGGTGTACATGTACGAGAAAATAAACCGAGGTGAAATCCAAATCATCTTTCTATAGTGTTTATGGATCAAATTCAGCCATACTGTTGAGAGGACGACAGAAACTATAGGCAATTACCAGCTGTGTGCAAACATTTTGCCCAGAGAAGCGCAATGAGACAATGTGGGCGTATTAGGAGCGAAACGAGATGGAAGCAGGAGAGAAAATGAAGTACATTATACAAATTACTGTCCTAATACAAAGTGTACAATATTTTAATGACTATTGCACAAGACGTCAAAAATAGACATTCCTTCCTGCGTCTCAGTCTTGTCATTTCTTACAGTTGGTTTCCCTGCCAGGATTGTCCATTATAGAGGCATGGTGACAATGAATGAAATCTAATTTTCCGACTTCCGACCGCGATGACACAATCTGACGAGCCCGCGATTTCTAATACATGTTCACCAACCAAGTGGATACCAACCCTTAGCCCACATGGTCTTATGTTCTCAGACTGACTCTTGTGCATCTGAGAGACTGCCGCTCCCACCACGTATTTATTAGAAACATGATCTCCCCATAATTTGTTCGCTTTCTAGCATACACAGCACCTCTATCTACGGCTCCTAAGACACCTAGTCTAGTCAGAAAAACAAAATTCATATTATATCGTTCAAAACATTTTCTTTTTCACCCCCCAGACAGTTTCTCCGCAGGTGTCCCAGTTTGCCGCATGGAAAGCATTCACTCTGTCTGTCAATTTTCATTCGAAGTTCAACTACCTCCTCTCGAAATTTATCGACTTGTTTTCCCCGGTTGTTTACCTCTGGTGACTCCCCTGAAGCTACTGCTGTACCCATTAGCTGTCTGGTGACCCTGGCCACCTCACTAATATCCATAGGTTGGGCTGCGTTGACTAGTCGTAGCTGCTGGGCAATGGCATTAGGGAACTTCCGGTGAACCGCGCAGTCAGAGACTGCTCTTGGAGGTCCTTATAGAAAGTGGGAAGTACTCGTCGACGTAGTTTTGTCAGCTTAATAGCCAATACCAGCGGCTCTTCGTATATTGGAGCTTTTGTGCTCCGGAACTGCTACATCTCCAGCTCCCTGTCCACTGAGCTGGCAAACTCCACCTCCAATAGTTTCACCATTCTCTTCAAATCTCCTTCCCATCCACGCGTTCCACGCCATCATATCGCCTTCACAGTTACTGTGTACAAGTATGGGGTAAGTGATTCCCTAAAGGGGACAACTTGACGTGGTTGCAGATATCCAATTATTCCAAGGTGGTATTCATCATGGAATGACACCTGCTGGAAAAGCATTGAAATTCTGGGAGCACTGAACTCATCAAGGATAGAACTCGGTGCCCTCACTTCTCGTGGTGAGTATGTTATCATTCATCCAGTAAGTCTGAATCCGGTGGTTCGTATTTTCCTACTTCTGTCGACTCCCAGTGTGGGGAGACCGTCATCCAGTGTCATCCGGGAGTATTTGCCCTCATCCCCAACTTGTTTGTTCCCACAAGTCACTGTATCTCATTAGAACTTTGGGAAATCTATCTTGATACATCTTTTTATATTTAAAGTAGCGTATGCATTTAATGTAACTACTGAATCGTGCACCACCAATAAGGTTAAATGGACGGTTACAGATAGGTGAATCTGAAATAATTTGAGAATTTATATAATGTATCTAGTTGTCATTTCCTCTATTCGGAGTAGAAATGTGGTAAAACAAGAAATATACTTCAGTAGCTTCTTACACGTTAATAAACTAGATTCTATTGTGTAAAGGCTAGTGATATTAGATGAAAGGGTTCGAACCTTTGTTTATCCGTCGAAAGATTGAGTACACTAAACTCCAAAACAAAACATAGAGATTCTGATGGTTAACTTTATGTCTGGAATGACACTAGGCATTGTGCTTAGACGTTCATCTCACTAGCTGAGACTTTTTTATCCAACTGGATTTTGTTGTAATCTTAACTAATTCAATTAGAATGGGGGAGTGTTTGGACTTTTGCGATAACTTTGATTTAGCTAAGATGTTAAAAATTGTATAAAAATTAAATTTAACATGAAAAAAGACTTTATTTATTAAACTCAATATATTTATAAACCTCATCAATTATATCTACACAAATGCATAATAATTTTATCACTGCTAACTATTATTTTAAGTGTTCAGATATTCATTATTCAATTTTACTACAAAATTGTTTACTGATTATTATATTTAAAATGCAGCATTACTTCACGTGATCGTGTTAAAGCATCAGGAAGTGTTGTTCCTGTAATCCAATCTAATCGACGCTGAAGTGTTCCAATATTTTTAACGCACGAAGGACCAGTTTTTAAATTTGTTTTAGCAAGTGGACCACAGACTTGACAAAAATAACGACGACATTCTAAGCCAGTTCTAGTTGTATAGAATTGTGGAGGTGGTGGTGGAACACACCGATGATCTTCATGCGACTGATATAGTTCATCAATTTGTCCTGATTTAAGTAATAAATATAACTTTTAAAAATAACTGATTAAATACAAAAAATAAGCTATGTACATGAGTAAAAGTAATGCAGATATCTTAATAGTTATGAGGAAGTTGACAAACATTTTCCACAGCCTAGGATGCCTTCGACATTTTTCATCCTTTTACGCTTTCATGTTCATGAAGTTGTCTTCATACTCATTGTATGATATCTCCTTCAACTTTCAGTTTCCACTCCTGCTGTTCCCTTCGAGATTATTCCTTCTGTTGAGTAATGATAATTTTTCGGATTACACTACATTGATGTGATAGGTCACGGTAAATATATGACTGAATATGTTCAGATGCTTGACATGTGTCTCACACATACCAAATTTAAGTTGACACTCCAGGAGTGGCCCGTAACCGCTCTCAGTTTATTGATAGGGAGTGAAGTAGTGGGATGTGTCAACCAATTGGCTTATTTGGAGAGTTATATCAGCCCGAAGGGGGTGGTTGCTGACAAAATCTCAGCTTGGATACAGAAGATCCACTTAGTATATTCCAATTTGCCCCATCTGTGTCGCCTGGTGAGATATCCAACTACCCATCAAAGTTGGTTCTGTACTGCTGTATGGCCGTGAGACATGGCAGTTAAAAGTAGAAGATATGAAACACTTACAGGTTTTTGACCAAAAGTGTCTTCTTAGCATTATTGCCCCATAGTGGAATCATCGTGTGAGGAATCCTAAAGTCAGACGAAGAGTACTGGGCAAGTCGATTGATGAGGTTGTGAACCTTAGTCGACTGAGATTGCTTGAACATAAGTTGCTTATGCAGAACTGTCATCTACCTCGACTTGCAACGCCAGAGGAAGTCAGATTAATTTGAAATAAGGTTAAGGGTAGCCAGACCAAAACGTGGCACCAGTCATTGAAGTCACTAACTGTTGGTCTGCGTCATGTAGGAAGATGTACACTGCCTGGGTGGGGTCCTTGAAATGAATTGAATCAGTGGTTGAGGGCTCTTCATGACATGGCTGAAAATCGGTCACAGTAACACAGATGTATTCACTGCTTAACATCTTCTGAAGCTTGATTATTCACACTAACCCTTATCTTCAGATTGTTTATTCTCTCACACCACTTTACCTTCCCCGATATCAGTCTTTTTCTATCCACCAGTTCCTTGTATACTAACTACTGTGAAGTGTGGCAACTTGAGCCATTGCACCTGTGTGCGAGGTTCTACGTTGACTTTTTCAGTTTGTCAGACGCACAATCGTCCATCCATAAAAAGACGTTTCACGCAATTTTCAGTCTGCCAGTGGTTAGTAGTAAAGTATGGTACGTTGATTTTGTCCTATTTAGAACCTAACAGATAGATCTATCCACCTTCGTGTAGTCATTAATACCGAAAACGAATTCTGATAGTAACCATCATGAAATTTGATGGTGATTTCAGTTTTTGTGACCAAAGCTTTCTCAAAACTCTTGGTCATCAAAACCTTGTTAACTTTAAAACACATCAGGATGCAACAGTAGACTTAGTATTCGTCAATGATACTGATAAATATGAAACTCGAAAGAAAGCTCCACTCCCCAGCTTAATTCACTGCACATTTATTGCCTAAAATATATGGCAAACAATACAAAGCAGCCTTCACATACAAGAAAATTGTACTTAGAAACTATTCACACAGTAACATACTTAATTCCAAAACGTGAGTAGTTAGCATGTACGCACGCCGATCTGTAGACATCCTTAGCCAGATCAGGGTGATTTGAACACCGGTTAGCTCTTCTGCTCTTTTACGCTGAGTTCATCAGCGGTGTACTCGGACGAATTTGGCTAGCAAAATTAGCTGATTGGTTTCCCATTGACATGACAGTTGCGCAGTTGATAAACTACTCAATTGTGAAAAATGTCAACGTGAACCATGTAGTTCGTAAATCATTTGCAAATTGATTACCTTATTCATTCAATCATTATATAAATAATCTTTAGACAGTCTTAATAACCTTGTACATTTCTTCCAATTCTGATGATCCTACATGTATGTCATCTATCTTGAACAGTATTTCTTTTTCAGTCTTGTGACCGTATGTTGTATGTTTTATTTGTTTAGTCGTAAACATTATATTTTATGGACCGTAAAGCAGCTGACGAAAATTCATGAAGTGTAACGGCACTTTCTTATATTCTCATTGCTTTTGCTCTAATCATCTGAACTTTAACACAAATAAAACCGAGCCAAGAGTATCATGAACTTGCAATCCATCAAAATTGGATCCAACAATCATCAAAATGAGAAAACACATGAACAAGGACTAGAGGATTTTAAGCACTACCACCTGAAGTGGATTATGGGAAATATGTTGATACGAAATGACCCTAAGAAGTAGGGTGAACAAGAATATTTGTCCATTATTGAATTACAAATCCAGTTGATGATGGACAATGATATTTCTAGAGAATAATAAACAAAAGGATGTACTGTCCATGCTATTATAGTCAATCAAGGAAAACACTACTCACTGGCTAATTTCCTTTACATTTTTAGGAGTGTGGCTGAAAGTCACTCTCAGATGTTATAGCATTCTGCGTCAAAATTCATATTTTCTGTAGTCTGTAAGACATATTTTGAAGTAAAAACTGCAGTCGTAAATCAATTTTACTGCAATTTGAAGCGTCAGTTAACTTACTCTGATTTATGAGCACCATTCTTCATAATTAACTGTACTGATATTCCATCTAAGAATTGAAATTGTAGCCAATATCTTACTCAAGAATAAACACCATGAATCACGATTCAATGAAAAACAGCTTTTTAAAAACTATACAAGTAGATAAAACATGTCTATGGAACGCAGAAAATATGCATTTTCACACAGAACGCTTTAAACTGTAACAAGCATAATAACGCCTGAGGATGAGTTTTAGACTCACTCTAAATTCTATCTGATAATGAATTTGTATCTGTATACTTTTCATCAAAACATCGAAATGATTTACTTAAACAAACAAAAATATTGTATAACATATAATGGGTAGGAAAGACTTGAGATATATGCGGAGAGCTAAAAGGAGAACAGTCGATACATCAGTAAATTTAAAATATTCAGATCAGCAGAGGATATTCGTGGTTCAACTATACGGAAGTGACATTTAAAATATCTTATTTATATAAGCTTATTTTATAAGAAGCTTTTACGCTTCCTATTGAAGAATGAACCACTAAAAGTTTAGGACATTTTTGTATCATAATAAAAATTGCTGGTTTTTTGTGATAATCTGAATTATATGCTCAATATAGGTAGTGAATTGAGCAACAAAGGCAAATTTTCTTGAATATTTCTTTTACATAATGGTTTCATATCATAATCATGATGCTGTTTAACATACTTTTACGATTTATTCTAGAGTGTAAAATGGTAGGATAACTTCAAACAAATCTAGTTAAACTGTCAAAAGGATTTATTTAAAATATTCACGCTTTCCATCAGTAGGAACACTTTTAAGTATAGCAAAACCAAATATTTTCAACTGTCTGTTGTGTAATATAAAGTCAGTGATACGGGTAAAATAGATGGTTAGGTGTAACGGTTCGAAATCGATCACGGTAGTGTAGATAGATACGTGAGTCGTCTATGTCTAGGTCATGATGACACACTCTTTCCTGCATGTTCACCCACCCACAGTTTTTGTCTAATTTAATACAATTCAACGTAAAGCCTTCGGACTACATTTGCATTTTTAAACCAAAATTTCTTCAATGTCGATTGTCAAGACCTGATCCATAAGGCTGAGTCTTCCTCCTGGAAGGAGCAGCGGAGAGTTACTATACCTTCAGAAATAAACTTAATACATCATTATTCAGTAACAAAATGAGAAACTCTAACACAGAATTAAACGGTGACTACCTGTAGGATATACAGATAATTAAATTTTTAGAAAGGATACATAGACCGGTGAATGTACTCACTTTCATAACTTCACACCAATGAAGTGTAAAAGAAGCCTAGTCAAATGTTTGTGCTAAAGAATAAGGAATACCTATTCTGAAGAAGGTATGGAAGAAGAAATGGATATGCTGAAGATAACATTATTGGAAAATGGTTCTCCAGTAAACTTCATAAATAAATACATACAGTGACCTCAAGGGATTATAAAGAAGGATAACGTAGTAAAGAAATCCTCATGTCTTAGAATAAGATTTAAAGGTGACATCGCTTCTGATATCTTAACATGCCAGTTGACCAGATCTGTTGAAAAGACATTCACTGCAGCGAAACTCTTCGTCAACTTCTCAACCAAATCACCGTTGACACAGAGAACCGGTGATGGCCAGTTCAATGTGCATTTATGAGTTCAACTGCTCCCATTACATTGGTTGTACTCAAAGGGCTCTATTCATGCTTGCTGGCGAACATGTACCAGCTTGGTCAGGGAAAGAAACAACAAAGTATATCAGTAGTCCAGTCCTTTCGTAATTTGCTAGATAATGGACATCACATTAAGACCTTTTCCACCAAAAATTTCACATTTTAACCTCTCACCCCTTTCTTCTACATTGTCCTTCTAGTTTCATTCGTTAAAATACAGTTTCACATTGTTATTAGTTTTATGCCCTTGTTTATTCATCCGATTACCAACATTGATATTCATATTTGTTATTTCGTTAGTGTGTTCACATGATTTATCACTCTGCATGAATATAACTCATCGCAAAATAACGATTATTTGATCGTTAGTAAGCAAATACGCACAACCGTTCACACCCGAGAATGATCAAGTACATCCTGTCCACAGTTTATAATTAAATCTTTTTTGATATGAATGGGGATTTTTAATTTAGACGTAGTATTCATCACGGACTGACATCAGTTTTGTAGGTGTTATTTTCTACCCCTTACCCCTCACTTGTCGTCGAATTAAAATGGACGAAAAAACATTTCACATGATTGGTTGCATAAAATCGAAAAGTACTATAAACGAGAGAAAATTGGGGAAAAGTTGCTTTCAATGATAAGCAACGATACCATCCGGAGTGTTGTAATCGAAAACGAATAAATCTTTACGGAATGTTTCTGTCTTGCAGCGTTTCATGAATCATTGTCTCTAGATTTCGACTCTATATGATGATTATTCTGTCCATACTGACTTCACCATACAACTAACAAACCAAGCTCATTGCTATTCCACCTGATAAAAACTTAATTCCATCTGATTTGGTCGCCACTTACCCGTCATGCAGACTGTTTCAATATTGCAATATTTTCACGCTGTGCCTTACATTGGCTTTTTTATTCCCCCTATTCTCATACAGTTATAACTGTAGAGTCTGAAACGGAAGTTATTGCAAACAATTATTTGCTCAAATTGCTTATTAACATAGGTGTAAAACTTGGGCACTGTGGTAGGATTTAATTCTATGTTAGATTTGTTTATTTGATTTATAACACAGTGATCTAGTATTATTTACTTGGTGGTGTTTCAGGCATAAATTATTGCTCATAATCAAATTGCTTATTGTTCTGAATAATCTATGGGCATCTTTGAATTATATAGTCAAGTGATAGACAATTAATCTTCAGCAATTTACTTGGTTGTGGCTAGCAGAGGAAGCCATCACGCGCGTTCCATCCTATTTGGGACTCGTCAACTCAATCAACCTGCATCCCAGTAAGCAATGTTGTTCCCACTGAGACTCAAACCTCGTGCCCAAAGGCATTATCCACTAAGCCACGGAGTCACGACAGTCACGTCTTGTACCACAGGTATTAGTTATTACTACTTAGTGATATGCTTGTCATTCTACGTTGTTTTGCTGGGTTGAATTGTCCGACCTCCATAAATAGTAATAACTAATACCCGTTGTACAATAGGTGGCTGTCGTCCCTTCGTGGCCTAGTGGATAATGCCTTGGAGTACGAGGTCCGAGTCTCAGTGGGAACAACGTCGCTGACAAGTCCAAAATGAGACGAAACACCTGTCCCAGATTCTTCAGCTAGCTACAACCATATAAATTACCATTAGTAATATTCAGGCAATATCGAGGCATCTACATAGGAGCCCATATGCCAATAGAGGTAGAACAATTCGATCCAGTAAAACAACGGTTAAAGTTTGTGAAATCATAACAATGTAGGATAAAATTTACCTTACCTTGTGTTAAATAGGCTAAATAAGCCTCATCTGAATTAATTTCACATCTAGTCATTTTAACCGATTAAAACTATTTCAATATATTCTTTTCCTTCATTTTTACTCTGTATAGTAGTTTTGTCGCCTAGTAACATAATAATAATACACGAGTCACTAACCAATCATATTCTTTTAAGTACGTACGTACTTTAAAAATCATACTATCTTGGTAATGTAAGGCTGTAGTAACGTATACAGAAAGAAAAACCTCGTGACTAATTAAAGTACGCAGTCATAACATCACATAGTTAGTAAGTTACTTAATTTCGTTTAATCATAGGGAATATTCCCCTCCAACCTTTGCTAGCTAAAGAAAGATTACATTCATTCATTCGAAAAAAAGTAATGATGCTATCGAAACTATGAAATCTATATGAGCCAATTTCTAAGAATTAGAAAGACGGTATACATTAAATGTAAGTGACTAAACAAAATCCGTACAAATAGATGGGTTCACTTTTCATGCTTACTGTTATTCACCAATTATCCCTCATCTGAGAACTAGAAGGTATTGGCACCCTACAGCAGTTAGAGACATCGTTAACTAACCATTTGGCCTGCTGCTGACACTCAGTAGAACTATACTGATCAGTCAGATAAATCAACTCAGAACACTGCACGAAAGTGTATCAATTCAAGTTATCACATTTTCCAGTAGTAAGGCAAAGAAGAGGTGAAGAGAAAAAGGATCAAGAAAAAGGTTATTAAAATATTTAGGAACTTTGAGATGATAAGAGGTGTATATGGCTTTGAGGAGTATCATAGGCTATTGAGTCTTGATATCTCGAAGACCTTAGTCAAGCAGTCAATGCAACAAAAACCTTACAGGCTGCTCCTAAACGTTAGTCTAGCCACCTTCAGTCGATGGAACTGTACAACGTTATGCTGCTTGTTACTTAATAACTGAACAGTATAAAGTATTTAATAGAAGGTATGAACCTAAGCCTTCGTCGTTATTTTGACCTTCAAAATAGTCATCTCATCGGATCTAGATACACTTTCCTATCTCTTAAATCGATATTATTTTTCCGCATAAATTTCCATAACAAGTATTATGTGATGGGAATGTTCAAATTTCCTGAGCAAATAAATTAGTAAATTTAATAAATGTAATTAAAAATTATATCTCCCTGTTATTATATCGAAATTCATAAAGGGAATAAATCATCTAAACTTCAGGATCAAAACTTGACCTGACACAGTTGAATAATTTGCTTATTGGATGAATGGATTATAAATGAAATCTATTTGTAAAATCCCAATGAAGTAGAAAAATAAATTCCTGACGTCTCACAACTTCGTGGAAATCGCTTCTTCACAGAATAAAACACGTAACAGTTATCGAATGCTTAAATAATAAGTGTCGACGAATCTGATCACATCGTCTATACACGATAATAATTATTATTATTACTATATGGGCATGAATGTCATTGTTATACCGGTCAAGATGCGTTCAAACTTGTCTTTGTCATCCACTATTAGTCTGGAGTTCAATGTGATGTGAATATGTGCACATATGAGTGAGTGTGAAAGTGTAAGGACAATAAATATTATGGATTATAAGTTCGGTTTGTTTGTGTATATGTACTTTTATTCTGATCATCATATATGATGTGCTGCGCTCAGATACGTGGATAATACATTCGTAATTTTAAAAAAGATCTGGCCTCAGAACCTTTTCGAAATTAATTGATACTCGTTCTCCAAACATTAAATACACACTTGAACATGAGAATACAAGCAGTGAACAATTATTCCTAGACTGTTTAGTTAGAAGGAATGGTAATGGAAGTCTGAGTTTATCGATTTATCGTAAACCAACACATTCAAAACGATATCTTGATTTCAACTCAGCATATCCACTCAGTCCTGTACTTTTAGTTACCAGTAATGTATCCAGGAAAGCCACAAAGCTCATCACGAATGGTGATAGGCAAACAGAAGTAAGTAGCATATTAGATGTACTACATTCCAATAACTACCCTGAGAATGTCATTCAAAAGATTCACAAATATGAGCGAAGAGATCCAAGAGGAAATTAAAATGATAATTCTTAAATAAGCACAGTAGTCCTACTATTCCACCAAGGTACAAATGAAGAGCTACAAACAACGGGTGAGGCTAAAAGTTATCCCTGGACATTTCCGTGCTTGTTATAGGATATAACATTCTGTGACCGAATTCGGGTATTTCCTATATACAGTATGGATATTTTACCTATTTTTATAGTTTTTAAAACGTCTTCTGTCACTGAATCATGTTTCATGACGTTTATTCATGTCAAAAGCATTAGTTGCACTTCCACCTTCTAGTTGAGATGTAAATACATTCATTTATGAAGCATGATGCTCACAACTGAAAGTAAGTTAATTGAGCCTCCAAATTGCAACTAAAAGGATTTACGATTGCAGTTTCCACTTCAAAATATATGCTTACAAAACACAGAAAATACGTATTTTCATACAGAACACTTATAACACCTGGAGATAACTTCTAGCCCCGCCCCAAAGAATCTTAGAGAAGTACTGAACTAGAACCGTTTAGAAGACAACCAACACTCTCAGGAATGCTCTAATTAGCTTAAAAGATAAAATTCCTTTTACCACTACACAGAATTGTGCTTACAAATAAGGTTGTGTCGACTGCGATGTCTATTACATTGAGGAATTATCACCTGAGATCCTGATTCGGGCTATAGAACATGAAAGCTATGCAAAACGAAGGCCAAATAATCCTGTAGAACTAGAGAATTTACAAATCAAGTCGGCAATCGCAGTTCACGCCATGTATCATACTCACAAAATCGATATTGAAAGTATTAAAATTATTCAAAACGTTTTTCAAACCACAAAGAAAGGAGAATAGCAGAGGGGCATTTCACATTATGTTGAATCTTAATGCACTCAACAAAATGAAGGCTTAACTATCCAACCTACATGGACAGTAGTACCAGAAACAGCATATGACATATAATGATCAGAATAAAAGTACATATACACAAACAAACCGAACTTATAATCCATAATATTTATTGTCCTTACACTTTCACACTCACTCATATGTGCACATATTCACATCACATTGAACTCCAGACTAATAGTGGATGACAAAGACAAGTTTGAACGCATCTTGACCGGTATAACAATGACATTCATGCCCATATAGTAATAATAATAATTATTATCGTGTATAGACGATGTGATCAGATTCGTCGACACTTATTATTTAAGCATTCGATAACTGTTACGTGTTTTATTCTGTGAAGAAGCGATTTCCACGAAGTTGTGAGACGTCAGGAATTTATTTTTCTACTTCATTGGGATTTTACAAATAGATTTCATTGGTAAATCATTAACTCTGAAGATGTGCCATATAAGTATAAGAAAAACCCAGGCAATAGCATACAAAGTTAAAATTAACTTATGAGATTGTATCCAACTCAGCATCGGCAAAGGTTTTCGTTAGTTGCAGCACAACGCGCAAAAATGAAAGTTACGTATATTTTCGGTCTTGAATTCCTTCACACTGTGCAACATAAACTTTAGGCTATTTTTTTCATGTGGCTGTACACCACAGGGAATCCTTATGCCTAATTATCATGAGTGCTTAAATAGGAATACAGGACAGAAGTGTCTAATACTGTCAAGCTAATAAGGAATAAATTTAGCAATTAATTTGAATATCACTTTTCAGCGAAGTTATTTCGTTTTAAAAACATACTACTGACAAAGATTAGGTAGTCAATAGTTTAAATGCAAGATTATAAACACCTAGACGACAATCGTTACGAATGTCCAGGAAGAAGTTGAGCGTCGATGCCGACATAATCACTATAAGAATATACTTTAATATAATTCTAGTGTGTTTATGAAAAAACAAGATATTTCTGAAAGCTTCACTGTGAAAGCCACATCTTAAGCAGAAAACACATCAAAATATATCGTAAATTAATACATCAAATATTTAGTGAATGTAGGCCACTGACTAAGTACTTTTCTGTCCGTTGAATATATTCTGATAATATGAACGCAAAACTAAAACTTTGTTCTGAAATAACAGGTAGGAAGTAGCTACATAAAATGGTAAATATTACCCAAATGTTTTAGGGTGTTACCCGTCTATACATGTTTCTTGCTAAGGACCTATAAATCACTTTTCTCATGGTGTTTATAACACCTATTACATAGACATTTATCAACTTGATAATTAAGCACGAATTTCCGTGAAACCTAACAATACATGATCCGACATAAGGAATGTTATTTGCTTAAGTAACTTTCATTACAATATGGAGTAACACTACGGCAATGATGGACTGAGCCAAGCCCACGGAGCCAAATTAGTTCAAATCACCTGAATATGGCTAGCTGAATTGCATTAGATAGAATCATCAATTTGCAAATGATTAAGATTCCACGGTATGCGCTGACATTGCTGAAAGCTGTGTAGTTTTTCAACTGCTCAAAAACGGTGTCAAAAGGGTCTCCATTGAAAAGCATTTCACCAAGATTACAAGATATCATCTGTGATACCACTGTCGTGAACTAACAAAATACACTACTAATGAACAATTTGAGTAGTTAGAATCCCCTCAGGTCAATGTGTAGAACTAAGGTGGTTTGAATAAACCGGCTCTCTGAGTTGAATCAGTTTGCATACACCAGAACAGCGCATTCGTGGTCAGCCCCAAAAGATAGGAATAACTAATTGACATTTAAATCACCGTGGTCTAGTCAGAAAGCACTATTGTTTGCTCTTAATGGTCTATTTAGTTCAGATTGTTTTTTGGTCAAAGTTGCAACAACTGACACCAGCACAGATCTTTGAAACCAACAAAAGAAGAAATAAAGACACAAAAATAATAAATACAGCAGTGGTAAAGAACTAGGAAAGACTAGGAATGTGAGTTAAGATAACCAGCACAACTTGAAGAATAATTAGCTGTTCAAGATCTACAGTTAGACAGGGTGTAGACATATCTGGAATCATAATTCTGAACTCTGTTACCCAAAGTCTTTAATTATTAATTTCAATTGTGTTGGAAACTTCCACTAGACAATATACACACATCATGGACTCTAAAGACTGATGTTATGTTTCCGTTTATTTACTCTTAGACTTGCTTCAACACATCACTACTTAAAGCATACCGTAACAAGATAACCAGTGGCTAGGCAGGCAAAACCCATACTCCAATAAAGTTCAAGCTTAAATACCAACAAATAAATGAATATTTACAATTTCTTAGTCTTGGTTACTGTGAAATTACTTGCAACACCACGAATCCAGGGAAGTTGTTCCTGGAGTTAACAAATGACTGGAAATGATGAAAACACAACTAGGGTGATTATAGCCAATTAACAGGAAGCCCTGGAACTAGCTTCTGCGCTTATATACATTAGTCCAGGCAGTAGGGTGCATCGGGAACCTCGAAGGAAGTGATACTCCATCGTGGTTTTCAAAATCACATCAGAGATTATACCAGACTTCTTTCTGCTGTGAACAACTTGCCTTAGGAAGAAATTTATTACATTGAACAGAAACTGAGTAACAAGGGTCATTTTAGTCAGACCTATCTCCTTCAAGAGAATTATCTTCAACAAGGTAACCTCGTTCAAAGTGTAATGTGATGATGAATCTGACAGTTTGATGACCATGTAGACAACTTCATTGATATACTCCAGTTAGCATTTAAGACTAGACAACATGGCAAACATTCCAATCATTTCAAGAGAGTCATCTTCATAATCTTTATATAAAACCACAAGCTGAAACAATAGTCGAACAAAAAAACTCTCAGCTTTCAAAAAACGAATCCAGGAGTTACCAAACGCTATATCCTATCTCCATGCTTTCTGGATGAAGTTTACAATCCGTCTGAATTCAGCAATTGTAAAGGATAAAGCCCAACATCGTACTAAATGATGCAAAACTCGCTTTCTTACCTTCGTGCAAGCAACAGAAATTATGTTATCCTTTTGGCTTTTTACTACCCAACTAACCTACCTACTATCATGACTAAATGTAATTTCAAGTGCTTTTCTGTTTTACTTTTGACTACTTAGCTGGATGGTCTGTCTATTTGTAAAGTGTTACTCGAGAGAAATCAATCTCATGTTGCCCAGTCCAGAGTGCTGACAGAATTCTGTCGATCATCTTGCAATCTGGACACCAAGCTAGGAGGTCATCTTCATGGAGCACTCTGATAGATGTTAGTTAGATGGAGGCAATAAACAGAAAATCCTGCACGGAGGTTTCATGTTTGTCGGCCTTTATCAGTAAGGCATATCTACAACCTCGACCAACTGAGATTCGAACTAATGCCATCCAGTATTGCGGTCAGCAACACATTGAGAAATGATCGACAGAATTCAGTTAGCAGTCAGGACTAGATAACAGGAGATTGACTGTTCTCCAGTGACTAGTCACGGCCTGATTCTCTCAGTCGCTGACTGGAGACACAGGGTGACGCGGGTTCGAACCTCAAGGGGGGGGGGACATCAGTTCACTCGAGATTTCAGGTACACCTTGCTGACGACTGACAACAAACATAACACTTAGGTCAAGGGATTTCTGACAATTATCTCCAACCAGCTAATATTTATTAAATGTATCGCACTAAACTGTTAAACGCTTTCGCCATGTTGATACTAAGAATATTCTTGTTAAGAAGACCACGTCAAAAGAAACAAATATTGGTAATAATTTTAATTATATACACTTTATAAAAAGATAAGAATCAAAACAATTCAGTATAAAACAGATATACAAATGATGATATATATATATATATATATATATATATATATATATATATATATATATATATATATATATATATATATATAACTAGATTATCAACATATGTTACCAAGGTCAATTTGATCATCAAAGGAATGTGAACAATAAAACACTTCTTCATCATCATCATCATATTCCGCATCTTCAAATATTTTCTGATGAATCTGCAGTAATATAAGTCTCAATAGGAAGACACTGATTTAATGAAAATAACTGTGTAAATGTGTAAAAACACACAAAGACACATGCCTACACACAAACTATCCAAATCGTTCAGCGACAATAGCCAAGCATTCGTACTGATTGGATCAATTTCTCGATATTCAATATAATCATCCTTCTTTTCAACATTAGCAGTAGTATTAATCATAGTAGTTGTAACAGTATGATTATTTATTGGTGACAGTAAACCTGAAACCGATTGAGAAGCTGTCGGTAGACAACCAGTAGCCGAAGAAGTAGACAGAGATGAACTCCCAATATGCAGTAAACGATTTGTTGAAGCAGATTGTTGTTCTATAGAGTTCGAAAAAGTAGATACAGCGATGAGATTTGGCATTGTAGATGATGTGAGGTTATTTGAGAAAATATCAGACTTTTTAACCGAATGCATAGCTGTTGTTGTTGTTGTTGTCGTCGTCGTCGTTACCGTTGTTGTCAACACTACTGTTGCTGCTTGTGTAGACAGGGATGATAAACCACCACCATAAACACGTTCATTAGAAGATTCAACAGTACGTAGATCCAAATTTGATGGTTCAATGTAGTTTAAATGGAAAATTTTATTATCAACAGAATGACCAGATTTTGTGACACCAGGATTGAGGTTAGACTTGGAACAAAGAGAATAATTGAATTACGCTTTACAGGAATTATCTCGATTATCAAAGTATGAAAGACATTTAGAACTATAACTATTATGATGGACTGAATTTTAGATTAATTATTTAAACATAATTATTCACTTTAACAGATCATACGCCTTGACATGCTGTTAGTGTTACAGCTTGTAAATCTCCATCGTTGATTGGACAGAATTGACCAGCCACTATTGAAGTACGTGCTATGGTGTGGATATCTCAACATGGCTGGTAGTGGAATCTAGGGTGCACGTTTCGTCCCAATAAGTCGTATCGTTCCCACCAAGGCTCGAACCCACCATTCATCACTTCAAACGCCAGAGCATTACGTAGAAACTAAACCATCAAGTCATGGTAACCATTTATTCTTCAACGGGTATGGTATAGTTTAGGCTCCTCTATCCGGATGACTCAATATTGCAGGTATTTTCCTTTTCAGTGGATAGCGTTTAAAAAGATTGGTTCTGGGTTCAAGTCTTATATTATTACTATTATTAGTCCCTTGGGTTCCTAGTGGAACATAGGGCCTCAGTAGCACGCCTCCAGTGACCTCTGTTCTCTGAGATCTTTTGAACCTGGTTCCACGACAGCCCACAACCTCTCATTTCCTCCTCGCATGACCTCCTCCATGTCACCCTCGGACGTCCAACTCGTCGCTTCCCATGGGGATTCCACTCGACAACATGGCCTGACGCGTGATGTCCTCAGTCGGCCTTCTCAGTGCATGCCTAATCCATCTCCACTTCCTCCTGCATATTTGTTGCGTGATAGGTTCATGGTTGGTTCGTTCCCAGAGTTCCTTGTTGCATATTCTTTCTGGCCATCTGATCTTCAGTAGCGCAGCGTAAGCAGTTGTTGATGAATGTCTGTAGTTTATTGGAAATGCCTCTCGTGACGCGCCAAGTCTCTGAACCATACAAGAGCACTGACTTGACGTTGGTGTTGAAAATCCGTATCTTGTTCCGCATGCTGAGTGCAGAAGATCTCCACACTGGTTTCAGGCTAATGAACGCCTGTCTTGCTTTTCCGATTCTGACTTTGACATCCTCGTCCGTCCCGCCTGTAGTTGAAACAGTGCTTCCTAGATAAGTGAAGGAGGTTACTTCCTTCAAGTTTCTCCCGTTGACGGTGATTGGAGTTTGTTGTTGTTGTTGATGGTGGTGGTGCGGTATCTTCATCACTTCTGTCTTCTCTATATTCACCTGAAGTCCCGTCTTCGCTGCCTGCCTCTTCTATCAACTTGTTAGTTTTTGCCTGCAGATCTTCAAGTTTGTGTGACATTAGGCACAAGTCATCGTTGGCGAAATCCAAGTCTTCCAGGTTCTTTTCCGTCGTCCAGTGTATCCCCCTCTTCTCGCTGCCTACTGTTTGCTGCATGATCCAGTCCACCACAATAAGGAATATCATGGGGGATAGTAGGCAACCTTGTTTCACTCCTGTCTTCACTTCACTTCAAAAGCATCACTGAGCTTCCCATTGTGGATTACTTGGCATGTGGCATCTTCATATAGTTGTTGAATGAGGCGGATAAAGGTTTGCGGTACTCCGTAGTATTGAAGCAGTTTCCAAATTACTTCTCGGTCGACGCTGTCAAAGGCCTTCTCAAAGTCGATGAAGTTGAGGTAGAGAGCTGATTGCCATTCTATGCTCTGTTCTATGATGATACGAAGCGTTGCAATTTGGTCTGCACATGATTTGTACTTCCTGAAACCTGAGCCTGCCTGTTCCGGTCGCAGTTTTGGATCTAGTGCGTCTTTAAGCCTCTCTAGGATGATGCGGCTTAATATTTTGCTTGCTGTGGGTGGACAGGAGAGTGATTCCGCGCCAGTTCTTGCAAGCACTCAGGTCTCCCTTCTTCGGCAGTTTGACAAGGTAACCCTTCTTCCAATCAATCGCCAGGTACCTTCTCTTCTTTCCACACCTTCTGCAATAGTGGTGTAGTGTGAGCATGTCCGCTGTTGTCTCTGCATCTGTTCTCAGTGCTTCTGGCGGTATTCCATCTGGTCCTGCTGCTTTCCCGCATTTCAGTAGCTTTATGGCGTTCAGGACTTCCATTTTCGTTGGGGGATTTATGTTCACTTGTAATTCAGCGGCTGCAGGTGGTATTTCTGGACGAAGTGCAGGTGGTGGTGGTCGATTCAAGAGCTTCTTGAAGTGGTCGGCCCATCGTTTCCTTTGTTTCTCTTCTTTCGTAATTAAATTTCCTTCTTCATCTTTTATTGGTTTCATCCGTGTTGGTCTCTTCCCTGATAGCAACCTGGTTATTTGATACAATGTCGTCAGGTCTCTCTTACCCGCCTCCAGCCTGTTCTGCTTCACTTGCCAGTGTTTCGTAGAAGTGTCTTTTGTCTTTGCGTACACTCTTCTTCACTTCTTTATCCAGTGTTTTATACATTGTGCTCAGTTCCTCTTGTCGTTGAGCGTCCTTGCACTGGTTTATCTTCTGCTTCACCATCCTCCTCTCCTCTATCAGCTTCCAGGTATTCGTCGAGATCCATTCCAGTCCTTGTCTTCTTTCTTCTTCCTTCCTAATACTGTTGTGCAGGTTTCTTTCCACATAGCTTTCAAAGACTTCCAGTGTTCTTCCACACAGGTTTCTTCACGCATGTTCCTCGATATCTCCCATTTTGTCTTGATGGCTGCCTTGAAGATCTCCTTTGTAGTTTCATCCTTCAGTTTCCGAGTGTTGTACTTGAGTTGAGGTCTATCACCAGCTTCCTTGAAGGCTTTTAACTTGATTTGGAAGGTTCCTTGCACTAGGTAGTGGTCTGAACCTACATCTGCTCCTCTTCTTGACCTTGTGTTAAGTAGACTGTGTCTCCATTTTCTTGAGATTGAGATAAAGTCGATTTGATTTTTAGTGTGTCCATCTGGTGAAATCCATGTCGCTTTGTGGATATCTTTGTGCCTGAACACACTGCCTGACTTCATTCACCAAATCGTTGAATGCACACAATTCTGCAAACAATTCTCCATTCTCATTCATTTCACCTAGCGCCTCTCGACCCATGGTTAGTTCTCTTCCCGTGTTGTCCCCTCCCAGTTTCGCATTCATGTCGCCCATCAGAATTTTGATATCGCCAACTGACGTCTTGTCCAGTGTTGATTGAAGTTGTCTGTAGAAATCCTCCTTTTTCTCTTGCTCTGCATTATTTGTAGGTGCATAACATTGTATGATTGTGACCTTTCTTCCTTTTGAGTTGAATCTTGCTGTCATGATCCTGGAGGAGATTGGTTCCCACTGCATGAGAGCCTTCGACGCTCTTGAGGACATCATGATAGCCACTCCAAACCTCAGTGTGCTCGTGGTTGGCGTCTGGGTGACCGGAGTAGATTATTGATTCTCCAGTTGACAGTTTGCAGAGTCCACTCCCATTCCATCTGCTTTCGCAAATCCCAAGCACTTCGATGTGATACCTTCTCATCTCCCTTGCAATCTGGGCTGCCTTACTGGGTTCAAACATCGTGCGGACATTCCATGTCCCCACGTTTACTTTCGCTTTCATCGAGAGAAGACACCTCGGCCAATTGGCTTCCCGAAGTCTTTCACCGACTGGCGTCATTTCGCCTCTCCGATTCCAGCGGGGAATAAGTTTGTTTTCATTTTTTATGATTTGTTTGTGCTTTGAAGTTTCTTTAGCGGTTAGATTTGTTTTACGGGGTAGGGTTGCTAGCCCTATGCCCAACCTTCCCTCTTTATAGGGGCTTAGGACCGGCTAGTAACTAGTAAACTAGTTAACCAGGCGAGGTTGGGTTCAAGTCTTAGTAGAAACGATATTGCTTCTAAATAGGACGAAACGTGCATTCTCAATTCCACTACTAGCCACTACCTGTCATTAATACGCTCTCAGTACGACAATCAGGTACCAGCACTCTTCAAACAAAACAGATTCAATTCGGAAATGAATACACATCTATGTGAATATCTGCTAAGATACCAAACAATAACGACTATTATAGTGTAACAATTGACGGTTGGATCAAATACACAAAGTGTATGAATATCATCAACTGAATTCTACACAGAAACTCGATAGTCAACAGAAAGCTTTAATTTTCAATCTTCGAAAGAATTATCTACCAAGATAAAAATGTCTTCAGTACCGATAGGAATATACACTCTGTCTAACGACCAATAAATTCTCAGGTTTTATGCCTACTTGACTTGACTGTATTTGTAATAATGATAACACCTACTGCCTTCATCTCATGCTTAGATCTGTTCACCATAATGATCCGATGAACTGGCTGGAGCAGTTGTGCCTTATTATAACACGAAAGTTTGTTGAGTACAGTCAATGATTGGACCAAAAGTAGTTGCTGTTATAACTTGATGAGAAATGACATTGAATTCCGTTCGTACCTTACCTTTTGTTTCACTGACTAACCTACAATTAAGTATCAGATAAAGCGATTACAAGTCAACTGGAAAAAAGAGCCAGATGAAAGGATTACTTAGTAACTCATAAGAGTGAGGAACTACCAGTGAACACAAACCTTCCGATAAAAGCTGAAGTTGTGAAAGTCATTAAGTTGCTGAAAGCCGGGAAAGCAGCAGGAGAAGGTGGAATTCCTCCAGAAGCACTGAAAGTAGAAGCAGAGACATCAGTAGCGGACATGTTCACACCATTATTGCAGAAGGTTTGAAATGAAGGAAAGATACCTTCCCGTTGAATGGAAGAAGGGCTACATTGTCAAATTCCCATAGAAAGGAGACCTAATCTAAGTCTTTAAAAGAACTGGCGAGAAATCATGTTCCTGTCCCTTTCCACCCCAAACAAAATAATAGGCCCTAATATCCTGGAGATTAAAAGGTGCTCTGCATTCAAAATTGCGACTGGAACTGGCTGGCTGGCTGCCTTCAAGAAAAGCAAATCATGTGCGGATTAAATTGCAACGCTACGCATCATCCTAGAACAGAGCATAGAATGCCAGTCAACTGAAATTTTACCTCAACTTCATCGACTTCGAAATGTCCTTCGATAGCGTCAACCGAGAAGTCATTTGGCAACTGCTTCAACACTACAGTTTTAGTGCCACAAACCTTTATCAACCTCATTCAACAGCTATATGCGACATGATGCTACATGTCAACTGATTCATGGTGGAAAGCTCAGTGATAACTTTGAAGTGAAGACAGGAGTAAGACAAGATTGCTGCTTACCATCACCTATCATCTTCCTTATTGTGATCGACTGGACTGGACTGCACTGGATCATACAACAAACTGTCAGGACCGAGAAGAGGGGCATATGCTGTTGACCGGTGAAAAGACCCAAGGAGATTCGGATTTCGCCAATGATTTATGTTTAATGTCTTGTGGTACAAACTCGAAGATCTACAGGCAAAAACCAACAAGTTAGCAGAAGAGGCCGGGCAGTAACGACGGGACTTCCTTCAGGTGAACGTAGAGATGACGAAGGTGATGAAGATACACAACCACCACCACCACCATCAACAACAAGTACCAATCACTATCAACGGGAGAAAATATAAAGGAAGTTGTCTCTTTCACCTACCTAAGCAGGCAGCTTCGTCTCAACTATAGGTGGCACACATGAGGATGTCAAAGCCAGGATCGAAAAGACAGCAAGACACGCCTTCGTTAACCTGAAATCAGTGTGGAGATCTACTGCACTGCGCTCAGCATAAAGAACGATATCAGTCAAGTCAGTGCTTCTGTATGATAAGGCAGAGACTTGGCGGCGCGTCACGAAAAGCATTTCCAACAAACTGCAGACATACATCACATCAACAGCTGCCGACTACGCTAGCTCACTCGATACTGACACCGCAGATCACATGGCCAGAAAGAATAAGCAACAAGGAACTCTGGCTGGCTGGCAACGAACCAACCAACAACCCATCACCCAACAAATATGCAGAAGAAAGTGTAGATGGATTGGGCATAAACTGAGAAGGTCGATTGCTGACATCATACGCCAGGTCAGCCCAGGTTGCCGAGTGGAGCCCAAAGGGGAAACGATGAGCTGGGCATCCGAGGGTGACATGGAGGAGATCGTGTGAGGAAGAGATGAAAGCTTACGGGCAATCGCAAAGTCAGGTTCAAAAGACCGCGGAGAAGAGAGTGAAATGAAGACGTGTTACTGAAGCCCTATGTTTCACTAGGAATCCAAGGGGGAAATAATAATATATACATATAATAAAAGCGAGAAATGACATTCAAGTGCATGCAACTTGTTAGTCAGGCTTAAGCATATCATTGTCGACTGACAGAGCTAAAAATCATCTTTACTATTTCAAACCAAACCCAGTTGAAAAGTTTATTACTCGTTAAAAAGGAATCAGTAATATATATACATATATATATACATATATATATATATATATATATATATATATATATATATATGAATTGATTAAAGAGAGTGAAGTTAATCACCACACTTTTTACAATCCTGTCTACTTTAAAACCTCTCTTCTTCTATATTTGTACACAAAGTATTTTTCATAGTAGTTTTCTCTCCGAAAGGCCTTCCCGTTAGTCTAGATAGATTGTCATTAAACAGTCAAGCATAGTTGCTGTAACATATTACAGAAGAGTTATAGCTAACTTGTTGTCGACCTATACTCCATGGATTCAAATGCTGCAAAAAACTTAGTATGGTTTAGTCAGTCACAACTATTACCAGTTGACAAGGAGTAGCTAGAAAAGTGAGGCATATACGGAGTTATAGTTACACAAGAGAGTGTTGAAGTGACAGTTATAGTTACAAACTGAAATTATGTGATTAAAGTTACACACGTTATTCGCCAATATAGGCACTAGTCCTCACTTATCTTTGTCACGCATTCATTATTTCTCTTCTACGAGACCAGTTACCCCAAAGGACAGTTTAATGATAACGACTTTGAGGGTGCATAAGTGCATAAGTGGTAAGTTCATTTGTTTTATATCTATTGTCCGTCCAATCACTCCCTTCTTACCTACTTTAATTTGTATGATAACTTGTGACTATTTGAACATAGATGAATCCATGAAGGATATCTGAAGAAGTTATGAAAAGTGGTGAAATCCTATTGACTATCCTTTAAATACTAGTAGGTTTATGCTGTTGTGAGTATGTAGTTAATAATATGTGATTGAGTCGAACTGAATTGCTTGTAATCTGTTCGATTAAAATTTTGAGATCGCTTTGAGCATACGATATTTGTTTGTCCCGTGTGTTCTGGTGAATACTACGTGTGGATAACAGTTCATAATTCAATTTCTAAGATAGTACAATCTTCAATTTAGTTGCTCATGCAAAGTCTGATAGTTCGAGCCAATGTACTGTATTGTCTTGGTCATTCCATCTTTCCGTTTTCGCACATCATCAATTCATACCGTTAAGCCTTTTAATTAACTAACCAACTCCTTTAGGTCCTGAGAGAGATAACTTAAGAAGTTGATATTTAAAAAGTTCTTAAAAATTATTCATTAGAATGATTTGTCATAAATATTTAAATTATGATTACCTGGAGCTTTCCAGAAGCAATAGTAGTAGTTATAGCAACAGTATTAGTAGTTACACTGCAAGTAGTAACAGTGGATCTATGGTCAGCAGATAATTTACCGGTATCTCGAAAAGGGCTTGATGAATGGATTCTATTCTCTTTATTCTCTTCTTTCAGCGAACAGTTGTTTTTGTCGCTAACACCGTTATCCATATTGATATTACTCCTACTGTTGTTGTCATCCCTAATGCTACTATTACTACTGCTGATGATGCTGCTGCTGCTGCTGTTTAAACTGCTATCCAAAGAAATTTGTGATCTTTTAGCTCGAACTGGTAACGGTAATTCAGGACTGAAAAGAAAATATTACTCACGATAAAAGAACAATAGTAAGCACAATATATATGTAAAGATAACTATTGCCAATTGTTTTTATTGAATATTCCCATTTAGACATTTAGAAAAAGACTGATTGAACGAAGAAACATATTCCCAAGATGAAGATCTAATTGAAAATGAATATATTTCTTCGCTCAATCAGTCTTTTTCTAATTGTTTTATCATCACATATCAATGAAAGTTATCAGATACTTGTGTAAAGAATTATTCCTACTGTTTTAAAGAACTCTTCACTACATTACCCTACTGGCTTATATTCACGAATGTAGGGGATGCTAATACTGAAATCCAACACACTAATATTTATGAATCATAAAAATCATAACAGGAATACAGGTAATGGTGACTTTGGAAGAAAATGCTCTAAGATTTCACCAAAGTTCTCCAACCACTGATTCCTGTGGTCTCGAGGCTGATAGCCAGTCAATCTACACCTCTCTACACGGTTTAGACTAACAGTCAAAAACTTCCCACCTTCATCTGGCCACGGAGCCTTACTGTAAACCCCATCCAACGTCAGCTACTGTTGTACATAGAAGTAGGCAGTGGCTGGGCGTGAGCAACACATGTCCAAGCCACTTCAGTTGATGAAGGTCCACAACATTATCGACTGACTTGTCTTTCTGCATTAATATTTTTTACCTAACCTCAACATTGCTCACAAGGTGCTTTTACCATAAGTGAGAAGGGCTGCGAAGATATATATCTTCAAAAACTTGAAACTTCTTCACATATCCTAATTTCAGCGGTCAGGTCTCACACCTGTATTATAGCAATGACTGAATAGTGGTGCACTATGGTCGCTCTTCAACAGGTAGTAGGATGTTCTGTGGTCATCAGAGATGATGCAAGTTGGCGAATAGCAAACAGGTCATCTGTATCAGGACTGAAACTTCGTCATTAACAAATACGTTCGAGCTGATACGACTCCTCAAGTAAGTGAAGCGATAAGTGTTTAAAATCTACTAACTTCCAGTGATTATAAGACTAATACTGAGATATAGTGAAGGCATCTTTAAAATCGAAAAAGAACCTGAATTACACTATCAGAAAAAAAAACAACTAAACATTCCTTATGCGAAATCGAAGCTACACGAAAGGTCATCAGTGAGTGAATTGCAACATCTCTAGGACATCAATAATGAGATTACCGTTTACATATAAGTGTTAATTTAACCAGACCTCTATTACCCTAAAAAAACATGCTTCAAAACTACAGTATAACTCACTATTGTTGAATAAAAGAGAATCGGTGCAATATAAAACTAGGACAATATTTAGGAGTATCTCTGATTAAGTTTTTTTCATGGTATCCACTGTGATTGCCCAGATCCTTCACAGAAGCACAAAACTCCTGAACGTTTTCTTAGTTAATCAACATACTCCAAACTTTTGAGAAAAGATAAGTGATTGTACATGTAAATATCTTACGGATTGGAATAGCTAAATCTATCAACAATATCCCAGGTGAGTCGTAAGTACATGTAAACCGAGGTATTGTGTACACATTTCGACGGTCCAATACAACTCTAACGATCTTACTATCTTTTATGTTTTCTGAAGAATCAAGTAACTACCAAGAATAGGATATGAAGATTATTGTTCACGCGTTCACAAGCATGCATCAAATTATATCACTTTTTCATTAAACTTTACATATTTCAGTAAAAATAAATAACTTTGACTAATCATAAACATAGGAATAAAACCGATTCACATCACATGTAAATTTAATCGTTTTCACAGTTTTCGAAAAATGTAATGTGTATTAGATGAATAACCCTTGAGTTTAACAAATAAATAAGAAGTAATTCCATATTGATACTTATTCAGTTTTAACATAACAAAAGATATGTCAACTGTTCTATGAAGCTTCATGGCATCATGAATTGATCAAGAGTAAATAATATAAACCTGTGTATTCCGTCTCATTTTTTGATATTTACAAATTTATACCATCTATGATGAAGGCGAAACGACCGAATGTCGATATTTCATTATTCGAAACCTAGTTACTGATGATATGAGACCAAAGTGACCGGCCACTATTGGCATTTGGGCTCTTTGGAAGATGCCACGATATTGTCGACATTTTTCGAAGTTGATATGACTGATGGATAGTGGTTAGCAGTGAAATCAAGGACATGCGTCTCGTCATATTTAGGACTCGTCAATTGGATGTATCTACCTCCTAGTGTGTGATATTGTTCCTCCTAAGACTGGAACCTAGAACCAACATCACTCACTGACAGGTAGGTATATCCACTTGATGAGGCCCAAGTAGGATGAAACGTGCATTCTGGATTCCACAACTAATTATTATCCATTAGTCATATAAAATTTGAAAAATGCCAGCAGAGGAGCTCATATGCCGATAGTGACTGATCGATTTATCATCATCGTCATCAAGATAAACAATGGACCACGCATTACTGCGTAACAGTCCAAGTTGCCACACCTCATATCAGCTCATCAAGTAACAAGGCAATAAAATGGAAGATGAAGAAGAAAAGAAAAATCGGTGAAAGGAAGGAAAAGAAGGAATGAAAAAATGATGAGAATAATGTGTGTGTGCATCTGCGCCACTGACATCGATTCTGAACCATATTACCATTGGTTTCTCTTGTCCCACTGACCCCAACTAGCTAGTCTGCATTGCCCTACATAGCTCGAAACAACAGTCCAGAACTTCATGCACTGACCAGTCGATTCAGTTCAATCGACTGAGGGGATGTAAAAGATATTACATCAAGGACAAAAAAGGTTTCCAGATTTCCGACCATCAATGCCTTTGGAACACCAAGAGCATTCGATAGAATCACTAAATGAAAAAATGCTAATGTTAGGAGCAAAGAAGTACCAGATTCAGTCGATGGTAGGTATCCTAGAAATATGTAAAACGTCTGCTTCAACACGCTATGTTAGTTGGAGTATGAATAAGGCAGAAGGTTAAAGCAACGTTCTAAGATATGTAAAAAAAGAAAAAGATTCCCGGTCTACCGTTTGACGACACACGAGACAATACACAAATGAAACATAACGATACAAATTCATTCAACGAGCTTAGGAGTTTTATTGTTTTACAACTCTTATTTTGTCTTAACTGATTTCCTTTGGTTAACTCTCTTATTGACTTTTTTTTTCTGTGTGGCGATATATACAGCGAAAATCTGAGTCAATACACCACTATGCCAAGTTCAATTTTACTGTTCTTATCATCTGACTCAGTGTTTTATACAATATATACCATAAATTCGCAAGAGTATATCTTCAGACTTTGATAAGTATAAATGCCACACGTTCTTTAAACAATTGAACAGACAAATCAACGTAGAACCTGACACAGAATTCTATCACTATAGGTTGCTACACTTCACACCAGCATGCAAAGAAGAAGTGGGTAAAAAAGCAAATAATATTAGCGTAGTTAAAAGTGTAAGAAATAAAAGTAAACAAATCAACCAAAGTTAGTGAAAATATCCAAGAAATCGATGATGACAAAGAATGTTTGGGTCCCCACCATTATGATCGACTATGAACCCTGTTACCATCAATTTCGAACATCTTGAGGGGATTAATCAGACAGTCTATACCTCTCTTAGTAACTCATATCAACAGTTAAAGATTTCACTTTTTGCTCTCCCTCATCCTTAGTTTTCTTTCAGTTCACTTCGATTTCGGTTAACATCGTACGTTTACATAAGCGGTGCCTCGGTAAGTTCAACACACGTATCCAAGACACCTCAATCGATGAAAGTTCACAACCTTATCGTCTGACTTAACTTCCTGGCCTAGTATCCTATTCCTAACCCGGACACTACTGACACAGTAGTTCAATCAAACAAGAGCTAAAAAAAGGCATGTGGTCAAAAATCTTTAAACTTCCAGTATTCTCTACTTTTAGATGTCGATGCAGTGTACTCGCTTTTTTAATCTAATATGTAGTTACATATCTCACCAGCAGCAGTGATGAAGTCAGTTGGGAAATTTCAAACGGGTCTTTAGAATCCCAGCTGAAGCTATGTTAGCAACCAACCTATTCAGGTTGATACAACTTGCCAAGTATATGAAGTGGGCAATGCATCCTACCATCCCCCTTCTTTATTTCTGCGATTGGTCATCATAAAAGCTGTTAAAATATTGTGATCACTTCAAGTTTTACCGGACGGGCAGCGACAATGACAATAATGTTCGAAATGAATTGAACTTTTTAAAAAGATAATCATTAAAAATAATATATATCTGAATATTTAAATAATACAGCACAAAACAATTAATCTATCAAACAGCCTACACATAATTATTTCCAATCCAGTGATGCGTCCTATTTACTACCGATGACTAATCACCACGTTATAAAGTTTATTCAGACAGTGATTGAGCCGTAGAGAGTAACCAATATTATGCGGTCTGCACTTAGTACAATCAAAGTAGAAGTGGTTCTAAGGCCCACTCTATCAACTGCTGAATAGACCAATCAGGTTTCGGTATTTCGCCTACGGAAAGTACTTTTAAATAAAACAAAGGAATATAATTGGCTGTCACCCACTCTATTTGAGGATGACTTTTTAAGGGCTACCCTAGACACTGCTGAGATAACCAATTAAGTTTATTTTATGAATTAACTATCTTACCAACCAAAATACTGAAAGCTGGGTCGACTTTGAAGGCCACCCTAGCAACGATAGGAATGACCAATCAGGCTTCTGAATTCCGGCTGGAAAGGTAGATTTTCATAAAATATAGAAGTATAATTGGTTATTTTAGTTGTTGTTAGGGTGACCCTTAAAATCGCTCCAGATTTGCATGAAATAGAGGTCTAGTTGGTTATTTTAGTTGTTGCTGGGGTGGCCTTTTAAAGTCGCCAAGACAACTAACTTGGATTTTTTGGAGGCACCTGCATACAAAAGTTAAGCTTGTAAAGGTGGATTGCAAGTGCCTCTGCTATATGAA